ACAGATGGACAACACGGCAGAATCCTTGCACTGTGTCCTTGCCCACGTGTCCTGGCTGACTCAGCTACGGTTTTCACAGCTTGCCCTGCTAGAATGCCCACGGAGACTCTATTCCGCCAAGCTGAAGGCAGCGCCTGCTACAGCCAGCCCTCGGCTGCAGGGCTGTGTATGTGGCCATCTGAACTTTCCTCACCACCCTGTTTGCCCCCCTTAGATGCTTCAATGCTTGGGTCTCTCAGGAGTGCCTCTGTGAGAGCAGGGACTCCTTTGCTGAGCTATAGTTGATTAACTTGTTAAAGTTCCAGGGGGAGAGGCGAAGGGGTATCTCTCACTATGCCATTCCTCTGACGTCACTCCCCACGATAATCTATTTAAAACAACAGGTGGCTGGCCCTCTGATGTAGTTTGCAGAACCTGCTTCAGAACAAAGCCCCCCTGTGGGGTGAAGACAGCCACACTATCTTCTGCAACGGCATGTCCTTATTGTGCCATGCAGACAGGGCTGAGGTTCTCAGCAAAAGGATGGAGTTCTCTCAGGCAGGAGTCACTTACCATGTCTTCTGCACACAGAACAGGACTTGCATTAGCACAAGCAGAGTAGGTACCTATTAATTATTTTAATTTATTTCATTTGACATCTGAAGGGTCCCCTTTTATTCAAAATTGCCTCCAACCCTAAAGAAGCCATACTTACTAAAATGTATGGAAAATATGACTATCTAATGAATAAAATACCCCAAGGAAGATGAAACAAATAAATGTTGATCGTCCTGAAAACTTAAGTTTTCTTTCTATAAGTCAAGACTGCTACCCTTAAAAGAACCAGCTCTGAGGACTCTGCATTTATACCACTAATGCAGAACTGAACTGCTCTGTGAGCACCAGCTAAAGAGAGATTATAAGCACACGAGAAAATAACTGCCTCAAAATAACTGTCAACTGCCAAAATTCAAATCTAGAAAAGACAAATATTTGTTACACCGCACATAGAGAATATTACAAAGCAAATTCTTAAAGTTTTTGCATTTTTGTTTTCATTCCTGCATAATATGTGTATATACACATATATACACATATGTGATTGGTTTGGAAAACACAACACACTACTCTCCTTAATAGTCATATTCTAGCAGGTCTGTTTTAAAAGACTTTTTTTTAGGGACTTCCAGCCAAGAGATGACGGCGTAGGTAAAAGCAGTACTCGCCTCCTCCCACAACCTCATCAAAATTACAACCAAACTACAGAACCACCATCATTCAGATCCACCTGAAAATGAACTGCAAGATCCAATCCTGAAAATTTCTATGCAAAGCAAAAAGTGGCTGACACCAAGTTTTCCCCACCAGCACATCTGCATACATAATGACATCAACACAGGGTCCTCCTCTCACAACCCCACTCTAGGCCCAAACAAAACGTCAGTGTGTGCACACATAAAGCACATTTACAATGTCTGCTCCCCAGGAGATACCACACTAGCTAGTTTCCATTGTTCTGGTTCCAAGCTCACCCTTTCCAAAAGAAACTGTGATCATCACATAAAACAAGACATGCTCCTTCACATGTCCATTTCTAAAAATGTATTCTTTACCAGTTAAAATATGCAATTTGTTAGTATCAAAAAAAAAGGAATCTCCATTTACAAATGCATTCTATTTAAGAACAACAACAAAACATATTTCAAAATATAATTGTGTTTATGATGTATTTTATAAATTTCAACACTTGCCAAAATGTACTTTTAAAATACCATAGCACCTAAGGAAAAACTGCCAATCTGCTCTTCAAAAGTATAGGACAAATCTTGCTCAGTAATTTATACATGTTTAATTGATAGTATTAGTAGCAATGAAAAATAACAAGAAAGATTTCTAATTTCACAAACCAGGTCAGAGACTTAAAATGAGTCATTGTTATGTTAAGCTCTAGGAAAACTGTCAAGTTATTTTGTCTTTATGTTCATTTCTACCATTTATCCTCAAAATGACTTTTCATTAATTTCACATCTATTGAGCACAGTTGTTTTATTTTTGCCAGGAACTGTTTCAAACTTTTCATTTTTATAATTTGAACATCCCTTTGTCCTGAATGAAGATGTTAAGAATTTTCTTCGAAACTATAAAAGTATGAAGGTCATAAAGAATGCAATATTTTTTCTAAAAACATAAAAATGTAAAACTCACTAAATCAAAAAATCATAATGTGAAATACCCAAACATTATTTCAATTTTAAGCCATTTTCAAAAATTGCAATAGACATGTCATTTTCTTAAACATGAAACATTTAAACAGATTTCCACCATTCTTGTTTTTACAATACATTCCTAAGTTCCTGCTGTAAACACAGCAGAGTATCTTGGATTTCATGTCAACCCATAGGTTTAGAAACAATTTATGAGAAAATTGACTTACAAAGACAGCAACTAGAATGGGAACTTCAGGAAGGGAAGAGATATTTATCTGTTTTGTTCATGGCTTCTGCCCCTTCCTCATCCTCGATATCTTATAAATGGTGCATGGCATGCAGGATTTCAATGCAGGAGGATTTCAATTCATATTAGCTGGACTGACAGAACTTACGTGTGTAGACCCCTTAGCACAAACTACCTGTAGGATCCCACCAATACCTTGAGAAAACCTGGAGTAAACTCATGTGCAATTACAAAATAAGCCCCTAGCACCCTAGCCAGTTTGCTGGGTGGTTAGAGCATCGGCCCTCAAATTGAAGGTTCCTGGGTTCGATCCCGGTCAATAGCACATACCCTGGTTGAAGGCTGGATTCATAGCCCTGGTGGGGGTTCATTGGGAGGCAACCAATCAATGTGTCTCTCTCTTCTCTCTTCTTCCCTTTCACTCTCTCTACAGATCAATGGAATAAATATCCTCAGTGTGGATGAACAACAACCAAAATTTCAAAGTAAGCCCCTGGAGAAAGGAGGAGAGGAAGAACAGAAAGACACTGAGGCGAACTAATCCCACACCCAGTCTTTACACACTGCTCCAATGTATTCACTTTGATGCAGTGGCTAAAACTCCACCAATTCAGAGATTCATTTAGGTTAACAAGATCCCTCTTTTAAAAACGCAGGAATCGGCCGACACCGGTTTGGCTCAGTGGATAGAGCATCGGCCTGTGGACTGAAAGGTCCCAGGTTCGATTCCAGTCAGGAGCATGTACCTTGGTGGGCACATTCCCAGTGGGGGGTGTGCAAGAGGCAGCTGATCGATGTTTCTCTCTCATCGATGTTTCTGTCTATCCCTCTCCCTTCCTCTCTGTAAAAAATCAATAAGATATATAAAAAAAATACCTAAGATAAAAAAATGACAAAACCCGACCTCAAAAAACAAACAAAAATAAAATGCAAGAATCGTTTAAGCCTCTCACCACCCTTAGGAGGTATGTCATCATTCCATTTTGCAGATGAAACTGAGGTGCAGGGGCCAGATTGCTGTCCTGGTGTCACACAATCTGCCTACAGCATGACACAACGTTTAATCCTGCATAGCGGCCTCCCCAGTGACAGGGGAATAAATAACCTTCATCCACCCATCAGTGCCCCTATATCCAAACACTGAACAAGCCTTTTCAAAGATGCTGCTTTTGTCCGGGGTGACAGGCAAGCAACAAGTAGGTTAGCACTGGGAGTGATGGTCACAGGCTTGGGGGTCTGGGGAACCAAACCCAAAGACAAACCACAGGTTTCAAAACACTGTCCGGGCCAGCTCTTGCTCCAGAAGAGCTAGCTAGCTGGCCTCGCTTCCTCTTCCTACCTTCCACGTGACTCACGGTTTTCCTCCACATCAGAAAATAGGCAGCCATTGTCAGAGCCACAGTGTGGCAATATTGTGTGTCCCAATCACAGTGACTGGCACAGACAAGGCACGCAAATATTGACAGAATGAATCAAAGCCCAGGCTGTTTCCATGGGCCAACTGGGGCCGTCTTAACAAAGCGGAGATGAGAAAGGCACCTCAAGCGCTGGTTATTGGTATCAAAGTGAGCATTTAAAAGGCGGGTCTCCATGGGGCCAGCCTGCAATGAAATCCTGAGGTGACAATGAAATCTTCCTCAGCCAGACTGTCTCAAAGAGAAAAACAACCGAGCACTTTGGCATACAGACAGAGACCTCATGTTAGAGCATAAAACACACACCGTTACTTTACAGAGGTTGTCTAGTCTAGGTCACCTTAACATGAAGAGCAGCTTTACACACACACACACACACACACACAAAAACCCCAACAACATCAAAAACACACACACACACACAAAAACACAACACAAAAAACCAAAAACCCACTCAGCATTCTCAGAGTGACAGCGGGGGTGGGGAAGATAGCAGATATTTTCCGAAAAGTTTACAGTGGGCCAAGACAACAACAAAGAATCATACTCCCCAGAGGGGAAAGGGTTCCTTGACGAGTGATTTCTTTCTACAGACACGTGTTTTACACCAAATAATTACACGGAGCCCAGGTTTGTGCTCAGGAGAGGATGCGCTCAATGGCTTCCAGGACAATTCTGGGAAAACGCTATTTCCCCTTTGGCCAGCCCGTCACCTGAACCCTGGCTATCAGATTCTCCCCACCTGAGATTTTAGGCGTCAAATGAAAGTCACACTCCGGGGGCAGAACAAGAGCCAAAGCAACAGGAAAGCGTCCCTTTCCTCCTCCATCCCCTCCGCCTCCCCTCGCCGCCGGAGAAACCGCACGTTCCCGGGCGGCGGCGGCGGCGGCGGCGGCGGCGGCGGCGGCGGGCGGGCTGGTCCGCAGGTGCAGCCGCCCGGCTGGTCTGCGCCCTCCGCCGCCTTTGTCCGCGCGGCCCGCCGGCTCGCAGTCGGCGCCCCCGGTAAACAGAGTCCCGCACCCCCGTGGGCTCCCCGGCACCGGAGGACGGAACCGCCGCTCGGACCGAGCCTCCCGCCCGGGGGACAGGCCCGGCCGCGCGCCCGAGACCTCGCCGGGCCCCCGCCCACCCGCCGCGGCGCCGGCCCCTCACCTCCGTGGATGGGCAGCGGCGCCAGCACCTGGCCGCGCACCTCGGCCTTGGGCGAGTCGAGCCCGTAGCGGCCGCGGTCGATGCGGAAGGTGAGCGGCGCGCCGCGGCCCGGCTCCGCCACCGTCACGTTGATGAGCGCCGTGTAGTACTCCTGGCTCGCGTTGTCCGCCCGCGCCGGCCACAGCCCGCAGGCCAGCAGCGCGAGCGCCGCGAGCCGGGCCCGGCCCGCCCGCGCCGCGCCGCCCATCGTCCCGCCGCCGCCGCCGCCGCCGCCGCGGGCCTGGCTCCCCGGCCGCCGGCGCCGAGGGGCGGGGCGGGCGCTGCCGCGCGCGGCCGAGCGCCGGACACTGGGCACGGCCGGCTTCCCGGCGCCGCCGCCCCTCCCCCGCCGCGGGGACGCGCCCGGGCCTCGAGGAGGACGCGGGTCAGCGGGCGCACGGCCGTCCCCTCGGGGCCGCTCCGGGCCGGGGCGGGCGGGCGCCCGCCATCCCCTGCGGCCGGGCCGCGGCGCGGGGCACCTGTCAAGGACGCGGGAGGGGACGCGCCTGAGGAGAGTCCGCGGAACAGACCGCGCTCCCCGCGCCGCGCGCGCCCGCCGCCCCGCCCGCCCCGCGCCTGCGCGCCGGCCCGCGTTCCCGCGCTCCCGCACGCGGCCGGCAGGGTACTCGGGGGCCGCCCGGGCCTGGTCTGTCTGTCCCGCTGGACGGGAGCGTGGACACGGGCGCAGGCCTGCAGCCTGGGACTCCCAGGAGCCTGTGGGAAAGTTTGAGACGCAAACAGGAGAGAAAAAGCTGGAGCTTTATCATGAAATCGTCAGAGATTCCAACCTCAAGTCCAGGAAGTGACAGCATGGGGCAGGGCTGCTGTCTGTAAGTGAGAGTCGGGGTTCGCCCAGCCGTGGCCCAGAGCCTGAAGGTGGGCACGTGCCCGGGTTACAGCTCCATCCCAGGTGAGGGGGGATGGGGAAAGGAGGGGGGCAAGCAGGAGGCAGCCATCGATGATGCTCTCTCTTCATTGATGTGTCTCTTTCCCTCTCCCTTCCTCCCTGAAATATATTTACATAAATAAATGAAGAGCATCGGGAGCCCACCAACCTGGACCTGTGAGGACACCTGAGTGGTTAGGAAGGACCTCTGCAGACTAGTGGAGACAGCCCAAGGACTTGGACAAGGAAGGATGGTGGTGAACATCTCTACACCCCACACCCACTCCCCCGTCTACACCCCCACATGCCCTGTCCGGTGAGCTCTGCCCCTTCCAAACCATGGACAGAGGGGAGGACGGTTCCGGGCTGCTGAAGTGAGGAGTTTTTAGGATGTTGGGCAGGGTCCTCATTGCTCAGAGGTGGCGGGGCCTGTATCCCTGCCTCCTGCAGTGAGAAGGGGTGGAGCCAGCCTTGGTCAACCAAACGGACTGAGAATTCCCGCGTTTTCCCAAAGGAAAACAGGTGCTGTTTCCTGGAAAGGGATATGGATGCAACACAGGTTAAAACATAAGGCCTCCACGGTGTCTTAGCGACATCCTTCACAATTTCTCTCCACAATTGTTTTCCCTTCCACCCTCTCACCTCCACCCCCACCATCACCATCCATCTAGTCTATGTCCTGGCTTTTTTGAGACTGGATTTTATTTACCTGCCTCCAGGAAGTACACCCCCTCGACCAAATGAGCCAGGCCCTTCCCTGAGCCCCGCACTTAAAGAAGGCTCTGCGCTGGCCCCTCCCACAGGGCTAGGAGTCCCAGGGACCAAGGCACCCCTGCTCAGACCCTGAGAGCTGGAATTCCTGCCCAGGCAGCCTGGGGCCCGGGCCTGCACATGGGCTTCTTTTGGGTGCGGGTCTCCTTGCTCTGCTGCTTCCACTTGGCCTGTTCTGGCTGCTCCTGTCTGACACCTCTTGCCCCTCCTCCCTTGTCCTTACAAGGGTCTATCAAAGTGTGGGGGCATCATGCCCCCTGGAATGAGAAATGATTATGGAGGTCCCCTGTGGGGAGAAGGCAAGTCCCTCTAAAGCACTCTTTGGGCCCTCTTGAACTTGTCAAGGAGAAAGTGGGTTCAGAAACACTTTTAGCCCTAGCTAGTTTGGCTCAGTGGATAGAGCATCAGCCTGTGGTCTGAAGGGTCCAGGTTTGATTCCGGTCAAGGGCATGTACCTTGGTTGTGGGCACATCCCCAGTGAGAGGTGTGCAGGAGGCAGCTGATCGATGTTTCTCTCTCATCGATGTATCTGACTCTGTCCCTCTCCCTTCCTCTCTGTAAAAAATAAATTATATATATATAATTTATATAATTATATATAAATTATATATATATACTTTTTTATAAGTTTAATATATATATATATTAAAGAACTTATTAAAAAAAAGAAACACTTTTAACACTTCTCTGGCACTCACTCATCTTTCTGTTGAGCAAAGTGTGACGAGGTCTCCATGCAAAGCCTTAGCCAGCACAGCATCGAGGCCCTCTAGGGCGATGTTCACAGCACCTGCATTTGGAAGTGTAAGTACCTTTGTTTTAAGGAGACCTTGTCTTTAGGTCAAGAGGTTTTACATTTATGGTAGTGATACAAAAATACCTTTTAAAAATTGTGGTGACTGTTGTGGAATTGAGGAACCACCTTACCATTTTGAGGAACCACCTTACCATTGTTAATCAGTGTCACCCCAATAGAGTCAATAAAAAGGAAAAAACACACAAATAAAAATTGTGATAAAAGACACGAAACATAAAATTTACCATCGTCACCATGTTTTAAGGGAATGGTTCAGTGGCATTAAATACACTCACATTGCTGTGCAGCCATCACCACCATCCACCCAGAACTCTTTCCATCTTGTGAAACAAATACCCTATAACCACAAACAACTTCCCACCCCGTCTCAGCCCCCCATTCTGTTTTTTGCTTCTGTGAATTTCACTACTCCAGGTACCTCGTACAAGTGGAATCACACAGTATTTGTCCCTTTGTGACTAGCTTATTTCACTTAGCATAATGTCCCCCAGGTTCATCCATGTTGTGGCATGTGGACACTTGGCTTGCTTCCACCTTTTGGCTATTGTGGATGCTATCAACATGGGTGTTCAAATATCTCTCTGAGATACCAATTTAAATGTTTTGCATAAATACCTTGAAGTGGGAATGCTAGAGCATGTGGTAATTCTAGGTTTAATTTTTTGAGGAACCACCTTACCATTTTACATCCCTACCAACAGAACACAATAGTTTCACATCCATGCCAACACTTTGGACAAAACTACCTTTTTAAAAAGATATGTATATATTTTTATAGATTTCAGAGAGGAAGGGAGAGAGAGATAGAAACATCAATGATGAGAGAGAATCATGGATCGTCTGCCTCCTGCATGCCCCCACTGGGAATCCAGCCAGCAACCTGGGCATGTGCCCTTGACCAGAATGTAACCAGGAGCCCTTCAGTCCATGGGCCGATGCTCTATTCTAGGGGGGTCGAACTCAATCAGAGAAGGGGCCAAAATCTAAAATCCAGCGTAAATCGCAGGCCGAATGGTTTACTGAATAGTCATAAACTGTCATTGTGATGGAAACGCAGCGGAGTGCAGTGATGACAGCGCGGTGCGGGCCACATTGCAAGGCCTGGCGGGACGGATTTGGCCCGCGGGCCTTGTGTTTGACACGTGTGCTCTATTCACTGAGCCAAGCCTGCTAGGGCAAAACTACCTTTTAAAACTTTTAAGTGTAAAACTGTAAGTCAATTTAAATTCTTACGTAAATAAAAGCACTGATGGTTCTTGTCAGATCTTGTGAAGGACATCTGGGGAGGTCTGAATCAGGCCCATGCTGGCCTACAAGGGGCCATGGGGCCTCCATGGGGCCATTTCTCTGACTCCACCACACACAAGTTGCCCCTGCTCTGCTCCAAACTCCCAGCTCCTAAGAAATCCCAGGTCTGTAGCTGAAACCCTGCTTCTCTGCAGAGCTCCCGTGGGCCCAGGCGCCAGCTTCCCAGCTCCAGTCAGGCACACATGCCTGCCTTCCTTCCGGAGTCTGTCTGCCTCCTCTGGGCAGTGGTGACCTCCCGAAGGCCATGCAGAGGGTGACCTCTGTGTAAAGCACACCGTGTAGCTCTTGGGGGCTCCAGGGATCAGAGGCCAAGCTGGGCTCCCTGGGCAACCTTGGAAACCTCAAAGGGTTTTCCAGAGTTTCACTTTTCCCCCCTTCCTTCTTCCTCCCTTCCTCCTCCTCGGGGGATGTCGGACTGCCAGTTTCAGCCAGGTCCCCGAAGGCCAGGCTGAGGGACCATCCTCTGGTTCCATACAAGATCTTTGATTAATCTCTCCCTCCCCCCTTCCCTATGAGATCTATCAGTCTGTTCCATGTTTCCATGCCTGTGCATTGAGCGTCTGCCCCTGGTGGTCAGTATACATCATAGCTACGGATGGAAAGGTGGAACGATCACTTAGGCTTTTATATATATAGATTTATTCTTGTATTATTTATTTTTCATATAAACAACTGTAAACCTAGTTTTTCCCACCACTGTATATTACATCATATGTTTTGCTGTTTACACAGTTACTGTAACTTTCGTAATTTTTAATATACCAGGAACTTCAAAAAATGGAAGTGGTCCAGGCTCCTCCCTCCTTCAAGAGGTCTGCTAGAGGAAGGAAGCAGCTGTCCTTCCCCTGCCCTGTGGCCTGGCCTAGGGGTGGGGTGTGGGGAGGGGCACTGGCAGTCTCTGAACCCTGTGCTCACAAGCCATATCAGGGAGGGGAGTGAAAACCCCTGTACACAGAGGACTGATGAGAGACAAAATGACTCAGATTTTGAACTTGTCATGGTCCAGGGACCAGAATTCAATTCTCCTGAGGACCCTCAGCCATAGGAATTATGACATCCATTTTGCAGCTGAGGGAACTGAAGCTCAGTGAAGTGAGCTCCTTGCCCTGACCCTGGCCCAGCTGATGAGCAGTGAGTGCGTTGCTGGCTCTGGACCCTCACTCATTCCTCTCCCACCTTTGGGCACCAGGCTGAGGATTCAGACCGCGCCTGGGCGTTGTGTTTTGTTTTTCTTTGTTTTTGTTTTTGTTTTTTTCTTAACACCAGGCACAGCCTGGGAAGTAGAGGCTCTGTCCAGGAATTCAGGTGGGGCCGGGGCTGATGCTGAGTGGACACAGGCTGCCGGGGTGGCTGCCTTTTAGCAGGATCGAAGGCATTGCCTAGTCCTTTGTCAAGAAATGTTTGGTCAGAGTGATGAATGGCTGAGCAGAAAGAACCGAGAGGAGACGCTGGCTGGGCTGAGCTGGCCTGGGCAGGCCAGCCCTCGT